CATGTACGACAACGAGTGTGGGGCCCTGTGTGCTTCAAATGCATGTACGACACACACACACACACACACACACACACACACACACACACACTCAAACAAACACACCCTTGTCAAGAGACTCTAACCGGTATGCTCACAACAATACATTAATAACAGAAATGGAATTTTATCTATTTTTTATCTACTTATTTTTTGTAGCCATTTTGCACAAAAACAACATTTGATCGTTGCAGATTAACAAGTTGTCAGATTCACCCAATTCACTGTTTCCTTTCATAAAATGTCTACTTTAGAATACTAATATTCCCTTGACAGTATACGTTTAGGCCCTGGCAAGTTGCCATTTAGACATGTTAATTGCTTGATAATGTGATCCATCCATCCTACTCCAGTTTGTGATAAAAATCAATAACATAAAGTGGGTTTAGCTGCAGTCTCACTCTTCCAACCATCATCCAATAATAAGCAGGCTTATAAGCACATCTGCAGAAGGCTCTCCTGGTGCTTTGATAGTGGCCTCAATCAGCCCAACAACGCCTCTCTCATTCACACTCTGATCAGCAGGAAAATTCCTACCTTGCCTGCCAAGTTGTTGCCAACTCGCGTCACAGACCAGCGGAAGGAACCGTGCTCGACAGGCGAGTTTCAATCAGCCGCAAACGAGAGGAGAGCAACCCAAACTGCGGGAGGACGGCCTCTGTGTGTCCGGTGTTTATCAGCTCTGAACTCTGCATGCATTGCACCGACCAGCTGCTGCACTTCTGCTTTCCACACCAGCGCGTCACACGGATCCCGTTTCTTGCTTCACGTGTACGATACAGCTCATCCTGCTTCCTCTAACCACACATTACCTCCTTAAATATTGTGCCAAAACCAGATAACGGGCATTCTGCGTCGGTGCATCCTGCAGCAGCCTCTCCATCTTGCTGCAGTAGCGTTACAGATATCGGGAGGCCTGGTACTAACGAGTATCGACTTCCATCGTTTTAGCAAAGAAAGCATGCATAATGATCCGAAAGAAATCTTACCCGTTCGTCCATCTCGGTGCTTTCAGCAGGTCCGGGGGTCGCAGCATCCCGACCGGCATCCTCCGCGGCCATGGCGGCAGCAGGGAGGAGGGACCGGACACCGGCTGGAGCTCTGCGAGGAGAGGAGAGAGGGGGGAGATAGGAGAAAGGGAGAGAGAAGGAGGGAGGGTGGGGGGATGCACTGTGGGACATGTTTAGACTCAAGATTCTTGCTGTGTTAAACGCGGACACTCTTAGAAACGACTTACTCCGAAAATATTGGATTTTTGCAGGATTTCCATGTTTCTTTTTTTAACTTAAGATTTTATTCTAGTTTATTGTAAAAAGATGTTCACACTTTTGTCTTTAGTTTTTCACATGTTCATTGTCATTTCAGTTGTTTCTACAGAGCCATTACATAGAAAGAAAACATTAAAGAAATAATACAAAAATAAGTCAAAAAATACTGATGCTTTACTTTGAGTAGCTTATGCTAATTTTAGGCCAAAGTGTATTTGTGCTGCAGACCACACAATATAACCCTTTACTGTAAAGGGCTGCTGATAATAAAATAACAAAAATGTGATTTACACATTTGAAAGAATTGTTTAAGATGGTGGTGTAGTACCCACATAAACCACAAGATGGAGCTCAAAACAAGAGTTTAATCACTGAAGCAGCTCAGGAGGGAAAGTGTTGCTTCAGGAAACTCCAGAGGGACTCAAGCACCTAATTTACAGACTAGCACTGCCTCTGGAGGACTGGGGCTGTGAGAGAATGCACTTTAAAAGGAAAAAAACTAGAAAAAAAACTGCTTCAGGATGCTGAAAGATACAGTAATGCCATACAATATTAATTGACATGTAATTTGATATGCAATGTTGAGGTTATTCATCATGTTTGTTTTAAACTAAAGTAATAAAATACCAAATTGGTTAAATGGAATCACTTGGTTATCGTCTTTGGCCTTTTGTGAAGTTATTTGCCTGTGTCTGTTTCCCAAGTTGTTCTGAAGAAAAGAACTTGGAACCAATTTAACTTATTCAGAATCAGTATCTGAAACCTTTATTCGTCCCACAGAGGGTAAATGTACATTGTAACAGCAAGTAAAGAGCCAAAGATAGCTTCATATAATTAAGAAGCATGCATGAAAAAGTAGAAATTATACAATTTACAAAATACAAAATATACAATACACACCCAGTACCAGTTATTTAATGTATATTGTGCACATATGCTATAGGAACACCAAATAAGAGGATGTCATTGATATGTTTTGCAGTGTTAGCAGCCTGCCTGTAGCAGTGACTGCAGTCACCTCATTTAGACTCACCTTCAGTATTGTGTGTCCGCTGTCAGGGGTCTTGTTCGGGAGCGCTTCTCCTTCACTTCCTCAGGGAACGTACATGTTTCCAACTGGTTCATCCTGAAAGAGGTCAAATGTTCCCACACGTCCATCCCAGGCATGTTTGACATTTCTTCTTTCATCGAAACTCTGCAGAGATCATTTGTCAACAAGTTATTTTTAAAATATGGTTTGAGATGTAGTTCCTAAAGAAACCACAAGAAGGCACAGAGAAGCAAAGGTTGTATTACCATAAGAGACATGAGTGTACCGTAATCACTTATGCATGAATTAAATCCCTGATATAAACAGCTTGTAATCGACTGAAGTGTCAGGTATATATGGAAAAAACTGTACATAGTATCCTATCTTTATATTTTTTTGTCGGTAAGTTGGTCTTGTTTAGTCAATCCCCTAACCTATTCTGTGAATTTATATTGTCTCTATATGTCATCAATAAATGTGTATCTTTCTACTGTTAATGTGTCTATATTTACTGGTTATTTGTATTTAATTCAATGTTTAATTCAATGTGCAATGCCTTGTTTACATGCTGCTGTAACAAAACAATGTCCCAATTTGTGGTCAATAAAGTCTCATCTAAAAAAAGAATAAGAGGATTTTTATTGGATGTTGCTTCAGCTTGTAATGCATTCAAAGTTCCACATAGGGGCAGAATAGTCACCTGTTACACTTAATATAGAGATGTTATGCACAGGGATGGACAGATAGAGGGAGAATAGGGGGTGTTTGTGCAAAAATCAATTAAAAAGGGAGGCAAAGTGGATATCCACATTCAATGAAAAGTAATTAATGTTCCAGGCTCACCACTATGACTGATCTAAATATAGCTATGTGTAACCTCAGAGGTTAAATCATTCAAATTAAGCTACTGGCTGTGCACACGTTTGCCAATTAGGCCAGCCAGAGCACCAAAGTGTCACATTTAACCTGAATAAAGCACATAAAGGCAGTTATTCAATTGAATTATACACTGTATAATCTATCACATTAAACCCTTAAGAGGCACGTTGCCTTATTGGCTGAAGGCTGGGGGGGAATCTGTCCGATTAGCTTCCTCCAACAGAAGGGGATTAAGCTTCTGGTCTGTAATGATGATAAAGCATATGTCAGCAGATATCCATCCTTGCAGATGCAGTGTGGCGGAGGAATATGCTGCTAGAGGTGGAGGAAGTACTCACATTATAAGTAATTTACTGTCCTGCGTTCAAATGTACTACTAATACTTGAAGTGTCTAAAATAAAAGTACTCGTTATGCCAAATGGCCATTTTAAGCACCAGATATTTCAAAAATGTTTAACCATTGGTCCATTTCCTGTATGTTGTTATCACTTTAATGTTTCCCTTGGTAAAAGTAGGGTTTACTTGAATTACTTTACATACTACTTTGTAGCTTAACCTTTAATATTATATTATAATGTGTGTACATGATTTAAATATAAAGTAGCCGGACTGCAAATACATCTGCAAAGTAACTAAATATGTAAAGTAAATGCAGTTAAGTGAAAAATAACAATGTTTGCTTTCAAAATGTAGTGGAAGAAAAATTCCAAGTACCTCATTTAAAAAAAACACAGTACAGTGTTTGAATAAATATACTTAGTTACTTTACCTCACTATTTAAATATAAAGTAAAGCAATTACATCTGCTTTAGTAGTAGCCTAGTAATTACTACTACTAAGTAGTAACTAAATATGTAAAATAAATGTGGTGGAGAAAAAGTATGAAGTAGCGTATTGTGAAAATAATAAAGTAGGCTACATCCGTTTTTTTTTTTTTTAAGTACAGTGTTTGAGTAAATGTAGAATACTTAATTACAATACACCACTGGAGGAGAGAGAGACCCAAGAATAGAGGCAGGAACAGGAATATCCTCCTGAGTCAGTGCCACGCCGCTGACACACACACACACACACACACACACACACACACACACACACACACACACACACACACACACACACACACACACACACACTCCGGCAGCTCTGCTCCCTTAATAAGCATCCTATGCTCTTCTGCTCAAGATGGCGGTGCAGGCAGCGGAAAAAGACGGAATAGTGAGTATTTTGGGGTCTTTTACGGAGCATGGTCAGGATGTACAAGTGTCTGAATTAATTTCGTGTGCATGAAGGCCTGTGGGTTCAACACAAAGCGGCGTATGGTCCATTATCCAGGGCTTATTGTAAATGTGGAGCACCTAGCGCCGTGAATGAGCGGCTCCTCTGTCATCTGTAGCCGGAGAGGAAATCCAATATCCTCTCGGTGAAATGTATCGGTGGTGTACTTAAGCGGCTCCACTAGCTAATTTATCACGTTTAATTCGCTTTTTATGAGGCCAAATTCTTATCTCACATGGAGCACAACAGGACAAACAACATGACAGATTGTGCTGCCACCTCATTGTTTGGGAAGAACCGCATGCAAGGCCACATTTGTATCAATAAACCTGGTGCTGTGTGTTTAATCTGACATTTTCATAATATATCCTACCTGTTGGAGCGGTAAATGACATTTTGCATCCTGTGTCTTTTGTCACTGGTGTTGAAGAATGTGGAGGACGACCACCTGAACGACTCGCTGGGGAACCCCGGCCTCATCTCACCTGACAAGGAAATCTCCCGCCTGCTGGTAGGAAAGATGCCTTCACGGATCTCATATGTCCTTGTTTGATGCTCTGCTTAATACATTCACATTGCTTTGCATAGACGGTGCCGTTCAGTGGACGCATCCGGGGAGGCATGCGGCCAGGGAAGAAGATTATAGTGATGGGCATAGTCGAACTGGAGCCAGAGAGGTAAAATAACACTTAACAATGCATGCAGAGTCCCTATCAAGAGGCTTGCTTTAATTCACCATGTTTAAAACATCCTATTCAAGTGGTTTTGTTCTGAAACTACTTGCACATCCACTCCAGGACACAGTGAGTAATGCGTGGGCTGCTTCAGAGAATAGTGGCTTCTTAAATATGCAGAGACAAGGGCGTTCCCCAACCAGCAGGGACAAAAAAAGGGGGGAACATGGAAAAAATAGCCATTGAAGCAGACTTGCTTTGGGTGTGTCCTCACCCTATATGGAAACTTGTGTCAAACTTGGAAGAAACCTCCCGATGACTTCATCTTGTTGAGAGGCTGCTGCTGCTGGCACTTTTCATGCCAAAGTTCATGTGAATGTCCCGGCTGCTGAGAGGCTCTAAGAAACAGATTTGTTCTTTGTTGCATCTCAGCAAGTTGGTTACTGTACTTCTAGTTCTCATGTTCATCTCTCTGAATATGTTTTGCACATTTCTGCACAGCCCTCCACTTTAAAATATAAAACACTACAGTCGTATATCGTCATATCTTCATCGTAATACGTTTTAAATATATTTGCCTTTTAGTTTCTTTTGTATATTTACATTTGGTGTAAATACTTGTCCATCTTCTTTTTAATTTTTTTTATGAAAAACACATTTTAACGTTTTAACCGTTATATGTTTGACCCCTTACATCTTATTTTCAAATGTGTTTTATGTTTGCACCACCATACACCATAACAAAAGTGTAAACGTACAGTATCTGGCGATAAACTGGATTCTGATTCTGTAATCATGTCTCACACAAAGAAGGTTGTGTGTTCACACCACAGCTGTTGGGGAAGGGGGGCAAACACAAACTAGCAGCAGGGATTATGCATAATTACAATAGGTTTGCTCTTACAGCAGATGTATGCATTTGACTTATCCCAGATTAGTTATTGGTCTCATATGTTGCCTGTCTGACTCCTCTGTTCCCCTCCTCCCTCAGCTTTGACGTGAGCCTGACCTGTGGTCGTGACTCGGAGAAGGACGGCACTCTGCACGACGTGGCCCTCAAACTCACCGCCCGCTTCAATGACCGTCAGTTCATGCGCAGCGCCCGCATCGCCGGGAAGTGGACCGCGGAGGAGGCGTCCACCGACTACTTTCCCTTCATCCCCGATCAGCCTTTTAGGGTAAAGATGCTTTTTCTGTGTTCACATACCAGGTGGTTCTGGTGCCTCCTGTTTTGCAAGCAGGTGCAGGTTGTGAATATGTTGGGATGCCCTCTTTGCTTCCAGCATCATTCTCCTTTGACCTGATTCACACCTTTCTAAACCACCTTGGTTACAGTTATGGTTATCTTCTTTTTTACACCTTGGATTTCCTTTCAACTGTAATTACTGTTATTTTCTTCTTTGATTTGGCTCCACGTACATAGCCTTCAAACAACAGTCCAAAAAGAGCAAGCAGATGACTTGTTAAAGGTGGGGTAGGTAATTCACTTCAGAAACACTTTTTGTTATATTCCATGGAATGCTCTTAACATCCCGATAGCAATGAATACATGAAATGCTTTGTCAATAAATACATAAAAAAATGTCATCTGTGGAAGCCGTGGCTGCTGTAAAAAGCACGACCAATCATCTGAGCCGGCCCGGCTAAAGTAACTGGATGGCCTACCTGCCTGTCAGCCTTCCATCTGTGCACAAACTTATCTCGTGCCCTCATTGGTCATGTGCGCGTTCGTGTGTGTTGGAGGAGGGGCTCTGTAAGGAAGTCTGAAGGAAGGGGCAGATTATTTTCGGCTGCGTACTTTCAAATTCTAGCGCACTCGAGCTGGTTTCTCCATTCTTACCTACCCTACCTTTAATGCAATCAGATCACTTGTCAAAAAAACAAACAGTTAAAACAGGTTATTAACAAGATTGACAATAAATAAAAAGTTAAAATGGCAAATCGACCCTCAAATGCTTCACGCTGGGGTGTGCTTGAAATAACTTGTCCTTGCGATGTGTTGTGTCGTGTCTTTGTAGCTTTTTCAGGGCCATTTGTGCTATATTTAACAGTTTTAAGCCGTGTCAACAAGGTAAGCACAAGGCGCTAAAGGACAAAATAAGATGCAGAATCAAAATGAGCGCAAAAGAAAAGACGACAACTATGCAAAGAGTCAATGCCAGAGTTTTGAATGTAAACAAAGCAGGAGAGTTTAAATAATCGTTTTCATTAGGATAGCCGGCACACTTCTTTGAAATCTTTCCTAGAAAGTTCAATCGATGTCGGTGCATGCAGTAAGAAGAATTCAAATAATACATCTGGCTTTTTTTATACACCTTGGGGCAACTGGCGCACGTCTCTAAGAAAGTCGATTTTGGGTCCTTGAGATAATGTTGCACAATCCAACATGTGCTAATGATGCTCGATGTAATTAGTGCTAGAGAAGTAGGTTTAGTCATTCATTGTATTAAGATTTTTTTCAAGCAAGAATCAGCTTTTGATCTACAGCATTTATTTTGTGACCATTTGTCTATTTCATCTTCCAACACAGTCTGTTAGTTGTTTGTTTGTTGCTTCATGTTTTGATGTTACAAGCAGCCCACTGTACCAGCGCTAATCGCCTGTCGCCTTGCTGTAGGGAAATAAGAGACAAACAGGAAATGCTTTCCATGCTTCGTCATATCTCTCCACTCTGAATACAGGCTGCATCCTGTGTGTTGGTCTGTTTGATGCATCGGGGTCAGCATCAGCTGTTTGTGTGTTGGAGGGGTGGGGG